ATGCTGCTGCCAGGTCCATAGTGTGTCATGGGTCCCTGTACGGCCTCCCATTGCTGCTGTCTCCATCGCCACACTCTGCCATGTGCCACTTTCAGGTCTCCTCACACTGCTGGTGGGTTCCATTTTGTCATAGGGTGCTGGCAGATTACGGGCTTCCCATTGCTGCTGCCAGGCCCGTAATCTGCCATGGGCCCCCGTACCAACTCCTCATGCTGCTGCCAGGCCCGTAATCTGTCATGGGCCCCTGTACCGCCTCCTCATGCTGCTGCCAGGTCCAGAGTGTGTCATGGGTCCCTGTACGGCCTCCCATTGCTGCTGTCTCCATCGCCACACTCTGCCATGTGCCACTTTCAGGTCTCCTCACACTGCTGGTGGGTTCCATTTTGTCATAGGGTGCTGGCAGATTACGGGCCTCCCATTGCTGCTGCCAGGCCCGTAATCTGCCATGGGCCCCCGTACCGACTCCTCATGCTGCTGCCAGGCCCGTAATCTGTCATGGGCCCCTGTACCGCCTCCTCATGCTGCTGCCAGGTCCAGAGTGTGTCTTGGGTCCCTGTACGGCCTCCCATTGCTGCTGTCTCCATCGCCACACTCTGCCATGTGCCACTTTCAGGTCTCCTCACACTGCTGGTGGGTTCCATTTTGTCATAGGGTGCTGGCAGATTACGGGCCTCCCATTGCTGCTGCCAGGCCCGTAATCTGCCATGGGCCCCCGTACCGACTCCTCATGCTGCTGCCAGGCCCATAATCTGTCATGGGCCCCTGTACCGCTGCCAGGCCCGTAATCTGCCATGGGCCCCCGTACCGACTCCTCATGCTGCTGCCAGGCCCGTAATCTGTCATGGGCCCCTGTACCGCCTCCTCATGCTGCTGCCAGGTCCAGAGTGTCTCATGGGTCCCTGTACGGCCTCCATTGCTGCTGTCTCCATCGCCACACGCTGCCATGTGCCACTTTCAGGTCTCCTCACACTGCTGGTGGGTTCCATTTTGTCATAGGGTGCTGTATGGCCTCCCATTGCTGCTGCCTCCACCGCCACACTGTGGCTCCACACTCTGGTTTTGGCCCCGTGACTGCCCAAATGAGTGAAGTGTGCGGTGATTCTAAGATCGACGGCACTCATCTGCATGTCATACTGACTGACAGTATTATTTCTCTTCCCCAGCAGACTCCAAGGGCATTTAAATTAAAGGTACAGTGTTTCTGCACTAATATAAAGGCTCTCTGAAGCCTAGAAACACCCTTTTTATAAGTTAAATTCGCAGCAAATATATTCGACTCGAATCAAAATTATTCCGCGAATTCGCCGAATCAGCCGAATCGAATTTTTGAATAATTCGCTCATCTCTAAACATAACATTTATTACATAACAATGCATCAAGTACAATCAATGTATTAACTGAACAGTAATGATCCCAACCGGGTCCAAGGTCTTCGAAGGCACTGATCATCACATCAAATAACCTGGCTGTATCTGCCACCCATTGAGAAGGCCCCCAGCTGTTACTATACCACTTTGGGGACAATTCTGCAGCTACGTTTCCCCAGATACAGTCCATGAACTACAACATTACCAATGTAATCTTATAATTGGGAAGGTACACCCATACCTACAATGGGCCCAACCCATAATCCTCAAAAATATTACTCCAGCGCCGCCTTCAATGACCCAGCGACCCCTGCCACAGCACACGAATGTGATCCCTTACATTCGTGTAGCCCACCAAACACGCAACGCCCGCTGAATACTAGTTTGGAGGCCCAATGACCACAAATCAATGCCAACAGCATGGAGGTGCACGCCATCTGCCCTTAAAAACCACTACCTACCTGTTGACTTTTATCCTGGTTCTATTGAGCTTCTCGACTGAGCGAGCCAAGCACCAAGAAGAACACACCACCATGTCCGACTAGACAATCACTGTCTGTGGAAAAAAGGACTAAAGGCGCAAAAAAAATCAAACTTAATGTCCCGGATCAACTCAAGCATAGAGCGCAAGCCGAGATCATTGCCAATCACATGCAAAACAAGAACATCTGGAGGCCTGTCCAACCGGGAATAATGGTGGATCTCAGGTACAAGATTCCAGGCACACCAATTCAACGAAGCCTGGCCTCGCTCTATGAAAAACCCAATTGCCGACCCTCCTGCCAAACTTCTGCCCAGCTAGCCACCCAAAAGACATAAGAATGGCCCAGGATCCACACCAAGCAGACTTCAGAACCCGCAACGAAAAACAAAAACCCCAAACATATAACACAGAAAGACAACAAAGAAGGTACAGGTAACAGGCAGCAGCGAAGAACAACCAACTCCAACGAATCGCATCCCGTACCCATCACAATAGCTGAGGATGCACGTATAAGCGAAACCTAGCTGAATCCCAGTGCCCTATGTGTTGAACAACCCGATCTTCCAGGCCACACCGGGCAGCCTCCGTAGCCGTCCCAATTCTAAAAGAATGAGACAAGTGTGTTCAGTACTCATCCCAGTGGACCGCAAACAATATTTAAACACCGCGCCAATTTGGAAACGAGACAGTGCTGTCCCATCATTCTCATGAAGAAAGAAAACCCCAGGAAGATCAGGTCTCAACCGATTATGTATATCATCCACTCAGGAACCACTCCCAACCTCACTTACCAGATCCTGCCATTCCCGTTGTGAAAGACTCAGGTGGACTCGCAAACCGATCGCTGAATCGGGGCTGTGGAAGAGGCAAGGCGATGCTCCAAAAGTGATCTGGGCAAGGGATACCATGCTGCTCCACCTCCAGTGCCAGCCGACAGAATCTGTCCCACTGAAAATTAAACAGAGCATCAGCCAATGAGTTATCAACAACAGAAACATGAACAGCCGAAACCAAACAATTAAGACGTAAATAATCCAGAACCAAATGACGAAGCAAATGAACAATCGGCCTAGACGAGACAGAAACATTGTTAATGGCATGTACAACACTCAAATTGTCACAATGGAATCTAATGCGTTTATTTTTAAAACCAGGACCCTATAAAATCACGGATAAAACGATCGGGAAAAGTTCCAACAAAGTCAGATTGCGCAACAATCCAGCCCCCCTCCATTGCACTGGCCACTGGCCCACGCACCACTGGTCCTGACAATATGCCCCAAAACCATCAGAGCCTGCTGCATCAGTAAACAGCATGAGGAAAGTACTGCCGATAACCGGCAATTGTCAGGGGACGGATCAGCACCGATCATCAGGGCACTGATGATCAGTGCCCTGATGATCAGTGCCCAGCAGTGACACCCACCAGTGCTGCCCACCTGTGCCCAGCAGTGCTATGGACTATTTGTAATTCCTATGCTGCTAGCATTAATAAATAGATAGGAATATAGATCATATTTACTTGTTTTAAACTTTTTTTTACATTTCTTTAGTTACTTCCTGGTTTCCATGCCTAGGCAAATTATGTCATACATCCCAGGAGTCTTCAGGAAGGGAGGAAGGGTTCTCAGCTCAGCCAATGTCTGAGCTAAGGACACATGGATTTCAGGAAGTAAATGCAACATGACGCATCTGTCTTTACTCAAGATGGCCACTGCCAGAATTGCAAGCGGTTGTTTTTCAAAATGATTTCTCAACAAAATAAAGCATGGAGACATGGATGGATAGGTGAGTTTGCTTTGAATATTAACAATGAATTATATAGCATTTTTGGTTTGTGGTGCTCAGATGCTGTGTAGTTCCACTGTAAGGCTGGTCATAGATGGCCCATTTTTTTTTTTTTTCAATCAGCCAGTGGGCCAAATGTGAAAGATGTTATGTTCTAAGCATACTGTATATCTGTAGATAGGGCAGCAAAATAAAGAGTTGAAATGGAAACAAAATAAACATTTAAAAAAAAATTAAATGCTTCATTACCATTTGTGCATTTAGATACACAAGATAAAGTCCATTCGATTTGATGCTATTTATTTTCAATAAATGATACAAGTGTGTGAGCATAAACTAACATACAGTAAGAATACTATTTCTCTATAGAAAAAGAGCAAAGCAAGCCAAACTGTATTATGATGCTGTAACTCTGCAGCTTTCTCCAGCACTGGCACTGTAGTTCCTCTATTCATCTACAAAGCTCCTATAACTGCCCTCTGCCCAGGAAAGCATTAGCATCCATTTGTAGGAGCCCTTACCATCAGATGTTGAACTATTCCAGAATGTTAGCATCGAACAAGGAATGTTTCAACCCATTCTCTAGATACAGCTGGGACATGTAGCTCAACATTATCTTAATAGCCACATGCCTTTCCATTTTCACAAAACATCTAAAAATGTATATAGAAAATAATCACATCTCAAGAAAAATACCTAAGGCACTGCTGATTATAGTGATCTGCCTTTAATGGTTTTTTTATTATTATTATTATTATTATTATTTATAGGTATTCATATAACGCTAACAGTATACGCAGCTCTTTGCATATATAGTACATTCATATTAGTCTCTGCCCTAAAGGAGCTTACATTCTATGGTCCCTAACTCACATTCATACATACACATACTAGGTCCAATTTTGACAGGAGCCGATTAACCTACCAGAATGTCTTTGGAGTTTAGGAAGAAATTGTAGTACCAAGAGGAAACCCATGCAGGCACAGAGAGAACATGAAAACTCCATGCAGGTAGTGCCATGGTTGGTATATGAACCGACAACACTAATGCTGCCAGGAGGAAGTGCTAACCACTTAGCCACTGTGCTGCACCAATAATCCCATGGTTTCAATGGTTTTTAATGAAGACAACATTATAACTAACCTGCTTTTTCAGAAGGAGAAACATGGCAGCACACATACTCATACCTCTAAACAGTCCTGGATTCTGTGGGACTGTCCTAGGTTTCTAAACAAATTCTGGCATCCCAAAGACTCAAATTATGTCCCGCTGCTGGCCACATCTGCAGTTTGCAGCTGGATTGCCAGCAGTTCCCTAATCAGTACCCAGCATCCTGCTTGTATAAACACCAAGAATTACCTTCCACAAGAGGCAACATTTCCTATTCGAAACCCCACCCACACTGTAATTCACAACAAATACAAATAACAAGCTAGTCCTTTGAAACATGAAGCATGTACCCTGGGAACAGATAAGATGGCACTGTGCAAAGGATGCTCCTGGGGTCCACAAAGCTATCCTGATGTGCCTGCTTGTGTGGCTTCCACTGCATCACTGACTGGCAGATCAACTACTGTATGTGTCAGACAGGAGTGCAGCAGTCAGCATTGGCATCACTAATCCACTCAACATTGTGCAAACATAAATCTACTTCTTCCTCATCCAGACCTATCTATACCAAGACTTCAGCTTCAAGGAGTTCATTGTGAGGACCAGATAAGTGAGACACAGACCTTCCTCCTCTACACCAGTACTCTTTTTTTCCTACTCCACACTTGTACTCTCTTCTTCCTTCTCCTCACCTCTACCCTCTTCTTCCTCCTCCACACCTGCACACTTCTTTCTCCTCCACACCTCTACCCTCTCCTTCCCTCCTCCACAGCTCTAACTTCTTCTTCCCCCTCCACACCTGTGCCTACTTCTTCCTCCTCCACACCTCTACACACTCTTCTTCCTCTTCCCACACCTGTACTTTCTTCTTCCTCCTCCGCACATGTACCTACTTATTTCTCTTCCACACCTCTACCTTCTTCTATCTCCTCCTCACCTATACCTAATACTTCCTCCTCCACACCTCTACCTTCTTCTTCCTCCTCCA